TTCCCAACACATCAAATTTTTTTCTATTTGTGTGAATTTCAAAAGGATTCATTTTTTTTATTTGTGGTTTCGAACCTGCATCCTTAAACTTTAATTTTGTTTTCTTTTTCATTTTAAAAAACCAGTATCCAGTCAAAAAATCACAAAAATAATAAAATTACTTTACACGCGACTTCAACTACAACAACTAGGTTATTCGTGTCATTAGACTATTAATATTGAATTGATTACTGAGGCCTGAACCCCATAATAGCCTTCAGTGCATGTAATAATATTCGTAAAATTCAAAATGGGTTATGACATAGGTAGATTTCAGGGAGAAGTTGATGAAGAATTACTTTGTCCTATTTGTACTGGGGTTTTAGAGGATCCGATTCAGGTTCGTTTAAATATACCCAATATTTACTTTTGAATTCTCTTACGTTATTACCCTATTTAAAAAATCATTTGAAAAAAAAATTTTTTTAATGGTTTAAAATTTAAATGTATATATATAAAAAAAAAAAAAACATGTAGATGTTGACATTAATATTAATTTTTTATTAATTGGTTTTTAGGCTCCCTCTTGTGAACATGCATTTTGTAGGGGTTGCATAAATGAATGGGTATCCAGACAACCTACCTGTCCTGTTGATAGATTAGTTATTACATCTGCTCACTTGCGTCCCGTACCTAGAATTACAAGAAACTTATTATCTAGGTAAAACTTTTAAAAAGTAATTAACAGAACTTAAAAGGAAATTTTTATTTTTTCTTAACTTTTATTTTGTCAATGTCAAAGTCGAGGATCTCTCGGTTTTTAAAAACTTATTTATTTTACAGTTATTCATAATTAAAAAATGAAAAAGCTTCTAATTGTCACCAATGGAATTGATCTTCACTGAATACTATATTTTTCAGACTTAATATAAATTGTGATAATGCCTTATATGGATGCTCATCAGTTTTAAAATTGAATGATCTTGCCAATCATGTTGAAGAATGTGAATTCAATCCGAAAAGGCCTATTCCATGTGATTTGGGATGTGGTCTAGTCATTCCAAAAGATGAAATTAAAGATCATAATTGTGTTAAAGAATTGAGAGCATTAATTCAAAAATACCAGGAAAAACTTTCAGATTTTCAACAACAGTTAAGTGAGCAAAGGTTTCAATTAGAACAACAAAAACAAGAATTGTCTCTTTTAAAAGTAATTATCATTCGAAAAAAATTTTTTTGCCTTCGTAATTGTAAATTAAAATTTTAAAAATATTAAAGTTTTATTTATAATAGGAATTTATGAGAGCTATGAGAGTTTCCAATCCGAATTTAAGAGCACTAGCAGATCAAATGGAACAAGATGAAGTTGTTAGGTGGTCTGCAACATTACCTAGAGCAAGAGTTACACGTTGGGGCGGAATGATATCAACACCTGATGCATTATTACAGGCTGGTACCTAAGTTCATTTTTTT